TTTGAATAATGAACATTTAAATTTGCTGTAACGAAGCGAGAGCATGCGACATGCATAGATATAAGGGGTACACTCACAAGTCTTACCGTTTCATCACCGCTGGCCGCGTCGTCCGAGTTGTCGAAGATCTGGTCGAGGTCCTTGAGCGTGGGGCACAGCCCGTCCGATGTGAACAGGTTCTTGTACTCCTTGCTGTCCTCCTGCATACCACAATTACGCCATCAAATCACTCCGATTATTACATAATCATTTCATACAAAAGTCCATAAAAATGTACGATACAAGGTCCCAATCGTAATTTAAAGTTCAAAGTTTTTATGCAATTTTGAAAGGGGCGCATTTCACTGTGACGCAATGCAAGGCAACAGAGCACTAACGTCAAGGCGCTCTTGCTTGACGTCTGCGGCGAGGGGTGCGAGGTGGGCGTGGTGGGGGCGCTGCGGGCGCATGGAGCGCGCGGGGTGCGGCGCGGGCGGCGGGGTGTGGGCGTGGCCGGCGTACAGGTCGCCGCCGCGCGCGCCCAGCGCCAGCTCCTCGCTCCACTCCCGCGTCTCCGTCTTGAATCGCTTCACTGGGTGCTCCAGCCTACAAACACACACCTTGTATCAAATATTATGTACATCCATTTAGATAATATGCATAACCTAATTCATAAGTGTCATAAAAACTTGTATACGGCCATGACAATATAATGTTATATCAATTTTATAAGTTTTAACTAAATTATCGTAATTATTCGTGCTCATCTAAATATACCAATGAAACCTATAAAAAGGAAAATAAAATAATAATATAGTAAAATTAGACAGAAGCACCGTAAGCCGAATAATTAAAAACTGAAATAAAGTAACGACGAAATGATATAGAAATGTCACCAAATATTGAACACAGCATTTTAAATCTGTACAAATGTTGCCGCGCTATCTGGTACGTTATATAGCGAGGATAAGATCCACTTCAGCCACGCTGCGGGCCGATGCGGCCGTTACACTATCTCGCAACTTGTTGCATTATAAAAACATTAAATAAACAACTACTAGTAGTTCGATATTCTACAAAATAAATAATAACGTCTAGAAACAATTGATTCAGAATTCAAAAACAACTTAAGTGTCTCGTGCAAAAATTATAATTTTATTAACATCATACCTGTCCCCCCGCGCCGGCAACAATGTTTACTTTAAATCAAACTCGGACACATAAATTAGTTTTTAAAAACTTATCAAATATACACAAATATTTCATGGATATTGCCTAAAAATCTACGTAAATAAAACTGTGATTTGATGTTTAAGTATAAGGTGCTTCGGTCAGACCTAAAAATATTAGATAATCAAAAATGATTTTGTAAACAATTTATTTATTGTAATTATCAACATTACAATGTCACTGTGGGCACCAATAGCTTTCTAGAGATATGATAATATGTAAAGTATCCAGTATGCGAGTATAATTTGGTGCGTACCATGCGTGCACGGTGGTGTAGTCATAGAGCATGTGCAGCGAGTGCTCATCCTCGAGGGGGTCCAGGCGCTGCTCGGCGGGCGGCAGCGCGGGCCGGCGCACCAGCTCCGGCGCCGCGCCCGCCGCCCCGCCTCCAGGTATCGCGCCGCTCCCGGACACGCCCCCGCCACCACCTCCGCCGCCGCTCCCGCAACCCGCGAACCCTGGCGAGTCGCCCTGCACAACACAACATACACATTCTTAATAAAAAAACACAACACGCCTCACCTAAAATTATTCTGTTTATAATTTCAGAGTTAGTTTCATTGTTAGCACATGATAAATGATGTTCAGAGAAAAAATATCTGACTATGACTAGATTATAATTATTGATTAAATATCTCTCAAGTTACCTTGATCTTTAACATTACCATTTCCTTATCTATGCCGCTTCGAACATTAGCAAAATATCCGCAATCTTATATATGTCTGGTGTTTTTTTTGGAAGTCTTATATACCGTCGGGACCATGAGGAGTGAGGCGTCTAGGTGTTTGTGTGTGTATGTGTGCGTGTGTTGTGTATGATTGTGTGATGTACCTGTGTGTAGGGCTTGTGCGGCGGCGCGGAGGGCGGCGCAGGCGTGGGCGGGGCGTGCGGGTCGGGCGTGGGCGCCGGCGTGTGCAGCGTCGTCGGCACTGCGCCGCCCGTCTACACGTAACCCACAACAATCTTACTCTATTCACTAACTCCACTACACATATCAAATATTTATTTATTTAAAATAAATGATAATTCATAAGTAACAAAAATTGTTTAAACATTTCAGTGATACAAATTGGTAAATTGTGTCGGTTAGTTATATAAATACGATTTTTAATGAGTTACACATAAAATATAATATATGGATGTGCTGACCTGGTGCGCGGGCAGCGCGGTGAGGTGTGGCGAGGGGGGCGGGGCGCCGGCGGAGGAGGGCGCGGAGACAGCGGGCGCGGGCGAGGCGCCGCCGCAGCTGCCCGGCGAGCACGCCCCCACGACACCGCCCGACCTGCGCACGCACACGCTATACTTATACATATTGTACACAACACCATTAATACTCCGCGCTCCACAGGATTGATAACACACGATGAAACAAACGGTTAAAACCTTTATGGCTGAAACATAACTGAGACTACTTTTTACATATAGTTGCTCTTACATTTATTTCATCGTCTGTTACAGATTACAAACATTTTCAATTAATTTCTGGGTGTAGCACAATAACAATGGAGTCGTAAATTATCTTAAATTTAACTCGTAAACATCAATTTCCCACATGAATGAAGGATTAATAGTGTAACACAATGTGTTGCATATTCAATAGACAATGATGTATTGATGTTTTCTGGTGTACAAGTATGAATGATCAACCAAATCCGCGTATGATATATCGATCTTACGGAGCGTCGAGATGAGAGGTAGATGTTATAATGTATATGTAAATCGAATGAAATAATGAACTTTCGAATTGTCGTATTTCCTAAATGTTTTTAGAGGATTATTTGCTTTCACACGAGAGTGAATAAGACTTAATTATGAACATTAATATACATGCGTTTAAATAACATATAATAGTGTTATCGTGTACGCTGTAGGGTAAAACAAATGTGTTAAAGTACATATAACTTTGTAAAACACAGGACGTAAAAGATAAATTTGGCGACAAGACTGGTCGTAATGTACACTGTCCCAAAAATATCTGCTATGAACACTTGATATAAATGTACAGTTGAATTCAATAAAAATGAGAAATTATATTTGCACATGTCACTACCTGACAAAGTCATTTATTGTCTGTGAATTTATTTTGGAGTTTTAGTATTTAATTTCATGATACAACATGTCGTTTTATAATAAGTCTGAGGTAGGTTTGTTATAATATAATTTCACATTTGTAGCGAATTCGAGTACAAGAATGAATTTACATAAAACATAAGTTTATATAACCATAGCTGTCAAATGTCGTGAACGAGTTATATGTAAAGGTAATAGTATGAATATAGTTACATAGACACAAAACATGCAATGTACATTAATTACGAGAGGAAAATCATGCAGTATACTGTACGGCATCAGAGAAACTACAGGTCTGCAGGCATTGTGACATGCGAACAAGCACTACTGCATCCTTTGTGGCTCGCAAGCCTTAATGAATAAAATTCGGTTCTTACTTGTGGTCTCGCCTGCAGTGCCAATAAAGCTCACATACCTTTCTTATTAGAGCGCTCGACAAGTTTTCAGTATTTTGAGTTACGTTTTCCAGTCGCCGTGACCTTAATGTTTATAGGAGGTAATACTTTCCCAATTCTCCGCAACGTCTCGTTTGCACCGCGGTCGTAGCAGCCGAGGCCTTCACCACCCTTACCTACTTGTATCGAGAGTTCCTCTCGGGTCGCACTGCTGCCCCGGTGTCATTGCACACATGACTGTACCGATTTATACTTGTAACTTTCAACGTTATTTATTTGTTTCGATTGATCACGGTTCAAGTTTAAAACTTCGATCCAGTGAGTCGTGGCACCGTCGGATGTACAGAGATGTGCGATGTAACACTTGCAGCCGCGTGGTCCGGTACTCACGTGATGTCGCGCGGGGTGCGCGGGGTGCGCGGCGCGGTGGGCGCGTGGTGCGCGGTGGTGGGGGCGGGGGCGGGGGCGGAGGCCGGGGGTCGCGCGGGTCGCGGGGCGCGCCGGTGGAAGGGCGGGGGGCGTGGCGTGCGCCGACGCCGCCACCTGCACAACAGAACGCTACTGCCGCCTACCGCCGCGCACTACTCGCGCCCGCACGTCCGTGTGACCGTTACCAACTCTACCACCGGCTCTACTCACTACCTAACGAACGCGACAATAACAATACACAAAACGTCCGACTCAACTGTGAGACTTGATAACAAGCGCGCTTCCTTTACTCACTACCATGCAGAAGCGGTTAACCAAACTCAAACTACATTAATAAGCGAACAAAAATATAGATCATGCAAGCTTATAAATATATTTATGTTGATTTTATAAATTCTCTATTTGAATCCTTTACATAATCTAGAATTCTTAAATTTTAATGTTACCGACATAAAAATTTAACTTTCATGCTATATTAGAAGATATCTAACTAAAAGCCATTAATAACTATAATAAATAATTTTACATTGCTAAGATAAAGCTTAGAGAAAAATAATAATATTTTGTATCAATAATACATCCCGCAAAATGTCATCGAATAGTTTACAAAGCAATATGTAGAAGTCCATTATCAGTCAAGTCTCACATCAATGAAATTATAAAAGCAATAGAGATGATACAATTGCGAAACGTGTCACACGAACGAGCAGAGCGGAGGTGAGCGCGGGGCGCGGGGCGACACACTGCGCGCACTGCTCACACTCGACTATCAATACATTAATTTGTCTTACATAAATACTAAGATAAAAATAATTTAAAAAATAATTAAATAATCTAATATTTTAATAGACAAAAATGCATTGATATTTCCGTGTTGTCCTTTATATTATAGCAAAAGAGGCATCTAAACGATGCTAACTTTAGTTAAAACTACGTCCCTCTACTATATACTATAGATATAAAATATACTATATTTTTTTTAACTAAAAATAAACATTCACATAACATCTACCTATCTACCTATCTATCTATCTACATGTGATCTACTCCTTAAATACAAAATCTCGTTCACACGACACATGTTCTCATATCATGCACTAAGCATAGCTTCTCCGGACGCGATCCACCTCAACTTCATTCCGATGCATGTAAAGTACATAAGTATAATATTTGCATATAAGATATAATGTATATATGTATATATAAATGCTTACATACAACGTTCATACAACTACCGCTATATGCCTCACTAATATATAATATTTTTGTTGTAATGTTAGATAATGGGCGCTGAGTCGTTTACTGCAAATCAAAATAGTAACAAATAACTCTGATAAAATTGAACAAGCGGTTAAATACCACCAAAATAGCTACAGGAATATAACTAAAATATAATTTCTATACTAAAACAAATGCAAGGTACATTGAAATTGATTAATGACTATGCAGTTGACAACACAGCATACATTTTCTAAAAAGTATTTGTGTGTGTGTGCGTGGCGGTGTGTGTGTGTGGGCGTGTCTGCGAGTGCAGTGGGCGGGGCACTCACTTTGCGCAGGAGCAGGGCGTCTTGCGCGTCGGATCCGCGAAGTCCTCGCTCTTGTCGCCCACCGCCTCGCCGTAACACAGTTCCGCCGTCTGAAAATGTACACAATTTTTATAATCTAAATAAACAATACCTGTAAAACTATTAGAAGAAAGTAGAAAATTAGATATTAAATGTATGGATAAAGAGATATACAATATTTATAATCTTTAAATATTTGTATAGACAAAAAAATATCCTGAAATACTTTAGGAAGTGTACTCAGAACTGGCCACATTTCTTAGTCAGCACTGTTTCCAACTTCCCCAGTGTTGTGTAGAGGCAGTGAGAGGAGGTACCTGGTGCGGGTGCGGCGTGGTGAGGGCGCGCAGGGTGCGGCCGGCGAGCGCGGCGGCGGCGGGCGGGGGCGCGGGGGCCGGCGCCTCCATCTCCGTCAGCAGCGCGTACGGCAGCGGGTAGCGCATGCGCACGCCGCCGCACTCCACCTGCAACACACATCACATCATAAATAAATCATCCTTTTTACGTCTAACTCGGAATACTTACATTGATAATAAATTACATTTTATGTTAGAAAATAGGGGTGAATACCTCTACTGCGCCGCAGCCGTGCTCGAGCGGGTAGAGCTGTCGCCAGGCGTCCAGTAGTCGCGCGGTGGCCGCGTCGCCGTCGCTCCACTCGCGTCCCGTCACACGACCCTCCAGACCGAACGGCGCTAAGATCACTGCAAAATCCCACAATACTCATTCCGTTAAGTCGGTGATATCAAGCTTAGGTAAACAAGTCAAAGACGACAACTTTTAGCCTTTTTGAATCTAGTTTTAGTCCTTTGCGTATTGATAATATATGCAATGCAGTGAGCTTGCAGTGGGTACGGTACCGTTGGCATGTTGGGCGGTGTCAGGTCGAGCGTCGCGTGGCGCGTCGTCGGCGGCGAGTCGCGCGAGGCGAGCCAGCCGCTTGGCGGTGAGCGTGCGCACTGGAGGGTGTTGGCGCACGTCCACTGACGCGCACACCGTGCTCTCGCCGTGCAGGAAGAACGCGAACGAGAACGACAGATGCCACGGGCTGACAAACACACAAACAAATTGTTACTACATTATATACCTAGTGTGTATATTTAATATTGTTATGCAAGAAACAAAAATATTTAATCTTAAATGCAACATAAACAAAATATTTATAGTGAAATGTTCGAAGGAGAACGAAGTCATACCATTTTCTTAACAGGTACAACACAGAGATCTTCGTTCATGATATAGGAAGTGAACTCTGGTGTTTCCACCGAGCTGCATTTGAAACAATTCATTGGAAATGCTTCAAATTTTACTTCCATATGGGTATAAATGGTAATAAAACAAGTATACGTGATCGTAGTTACCTTTTACCGACGTCCTCTTCGTCGCCATCGTAAGGTTGGACAAACCACTTTCCCAGCCTCACAAAGTCTCGCGATAACAAGCATCTGAAATTATAACGAATATTTTATTAACATAAACTTAGGTAATAGTAAGTCAATGCACATATCACTTAAGTAATAAAAGACACTGGTGCGGCTTCCATGTCATAGAAATGCGGTGTCATAATGCATCACTACCGATGCCCATATCAATTAATATTGCCAATGCGATTCCCATTTACTGTTGTCGCCGGCCCGGTGTGCTGGGTTAGATCTCACAATGGTAACGATACAAGGTATAGCAATGTTAGGGCTTAAGAAAGGTTGACGTTTCAAGGTCACATATAATTTTATATTTATTATATAAATAATCAAGATATAATTATTATATAATTTATAAAGGCAACGGGTAATGTGAAGTAGGTAGAGCAGGAATCTCATCATTAGAGCTTATAGCTTCAATATCGCATGCGGAGCGCACTTTAGCGACCCGCCCGCCAAGCCGTAAACAATTTTAATAAACAACTCAACGATAATATTTCTTTGCGGCGTAATGCTTCAAATGTTTAAGATATCGTCACGTTAGCGCGTTTAGGATTTTATTAATACCAGTTAGTTCATTAACTCAATCAGATCGTTAATATAATTGAGTTTATGTTCATTGCTTGAAAGAACCGGATTTAAGGAATAACAATCAGTCACGCCATCATTTGATGGTGTTTATAATATAGACCTACATTCAGTATTGGGGGCGGCGTTGTTTTGCATAGCAAACGCCTTCTTAGGCAAATGCTTTTTACATCTTAGAATTTTGTAGTGTATACGATGACCAGTGGGTTCCTAAAACCAAAATTTCCGTTTAAAACATATCTGTTTTGTTAAAGATGACAGAGATGACGATATGTTCTATACAGAGATTTTTTTCTCAGAAACCCACGGTAAGTACAGTGGAATAATTTGAACGTTCACTAAGATAACAACAACGTAACGTCATTACGTATTAAATGGACAAGTCACGAATATTTTTGTATTCATATTACCCATATTGTTACGGATACTAATGTCGCTTTCACTACGCTTTTAATTTGCTCCGTGTACATAAACAATAATTATACATACTTATTGCTCAATTGAAAAAAAAAAACCGAACTCTTGCTACACTGAGGATTTCCACAGTTATTTATTTTGAATCTAAAACACAGTACGGTCGCCATAATGAATTTAACGCGATTCAAATGAAATTATCAAACAACAAGATAGAATAACAATTACGTATCGCACAATTTACTCGACAGTGGAAACGATTACGTAATAGTTTGTTAATAATTAATAATTATCGAGTCGGCTCGCAGTAATTGCTACGTGTTGCGACATAAAGCTCCGCGTAAACTTTATGTACTTCAAGTTCATACAATGATCTATACGTTTAATGACTCATTGAGCGATACTCAGCTGCAATATTGTACTCAATGCCGTGCTGTAATGCCTTTGTGTACATTTATTTTATATTATTTAACGTGACAGAAGTTTACTTATCATTTTACTGCCAACTTACAGGACACACTAGTTACGATTACATGTTACATCGAAAGCATCCTTAAAAAAATGTATTGACAGACAGACAGACGGACGGACGGACAACAAAGTGATCCTATAAGAGTTCCGCTTTTTTCCTTTCGAGGTACGCAACTCTACAAATAAAGTAATTTTAATCTTAGGCTACTACGACGGCCTCACAGCGGCGGCGGCAATTAAGCGGCATTGAACTTCAACAGGCGCGCCGCCAAGGTCCTCTCTTATCAAATAAACGGAAATGCATCATCTATTTAAATATGCATTATATAGTACGAAATTAAATTGCCATTTTATCTAGAATTTGGTGTAGCTAAACGTGACAAACATTGAGGATAAGCAGAAATTGTTTTTAAAATATTTGGTTGTTGCAGGAAGCCTACTAACTGGAATAGTACCGTAACCTTGAACAATAACGAAGTAAAGAATGACGTATCAGCGTTTTTCCGTACTTGGTATACTGATTTTTTTCCTTATCATTGCTTTCTTCTACGTAATATTGTCATCACATTTTTTTTTGTCTGGAATTCCCAATAATCAACATAAAAGGCTGTGTTTGACTGTGCGATCAAATTAAAACATTGATAGGCTAGTGGGGGGCGAGGCGGAGTGTCGCAGCAGTGGCATGGTGAGTGCACAATGTGTGTCGCCGACTGGTCGCGGTGCGGTCGCGTGCGGTGCGCGCACTGTATGCGAGACGCGCTGAGCCGTCGGCGGGGTCGTCGACCTGCTCGCGTTTCGTTCGTCGGTGAGATGCCACCGGCCGGCGCTGCAGCTCGCCCCCGTAATAGCACCTACACCACCACACCACAGCCACATCGCAACAATGCTTACAAACTTTACGATTATTCAAAAACGACTCTACAGTTTAATTATCTAATTATTTGTTATTTTTGTCAATTGAAGTTAATTAAACTGTAACTAACAATATCTCTGATTGACTCCGCTTCAAAATTAAAATATTACAATATTTATGTAACATCACCAAACCCTTACTACGGCCTATAGAAAATTACAAAGCACGTAATAAATTTGACCACACGATATGATCTCAAAAGGTCCCTTTAAATTAGTTGATACTTAACATAAAAACATCTTGTAAATAATGTGTGGACGTCGTAAAAGTATCACGTTGTAAATGAGCACCGCGGCGACACTAAAAATACATTCACAGATTAATTTCATGGAGAACAATGGGATCGTTTACACCGCACACATTTCCTGAACTCTGAGATATCCAACTCTGTCTAACCGGCAATGAAAACTTATGGTAAATATTGAAGCGTTTTGATGACAATCAATAAGCTTAAGATTTGCGAACGCGATGACGCTTGTTACGACCATCAGCAGATAAGCTCGCGCGCCCATACTGAATCCCAATTATAATTCACAAGGACGATACATCTTATCGCAACGATTTAAATAAATGGCATCATAAAACATCGCTATAGCTGCAGACTACGATAAATCTTTTGCTTTGTTTACCTTTCGATGAGGTTATGCAAAGCCTTGAAGAGCAGGGATCGGCACTCGTAGGACAGTCCACTCTCCCATGAGCCGTGGTCGCCTTCTGTAAATAAAAAAAATAAAACATTTAGTATAAACTAACAAGAGAGTAGTGTGTTATTTGTAGTGAATAATTAAACAATTTTCTCACGGTATAGAAACATAACGGAAGTAAACTCAAATACTTTACTTAAAAGGTCCTTGTTTTAAACTCAAGCGTACACCTTGACATTGACAGTTATTACTTTTATCGTGTGTATGTGAGCATGACGTCACCTGGTCACCGATCAACCGCTTAATTAGCGTCTTGACAAGAGCACCGCATCGGCGCCTCCTAACTTTCCGCAGAGTTTCAGACTCAGCAAGGCCGAAAGACGCAAAACAAACAAGCACCATTTCCAGGTGATGTTACGGAATTTTTCCACTAATTGGTTCAAGTTAAGTTTGAATTTTGCTAAAATTAGTACTGATGGAAAGTTTCAAGAAGCATTTATCATTGTTTTATGAATTGCTCTGAATTTACTGAATTCATAATTTGCTATTAGCCCCTACAGCAGGAGGGAAGTTGGTTAGAGCGTCCAGAGGCAGTGCAGTAGCAGTGCAGTAGCAGTGTAACGGCAAGCGGAAGGGAAGCGATAAGCGGCCGCGAGATGCACCGCCGATGATTGCTGCAAATAGTTGCATTCGCAATCGGAAGATAAACCCGCGCTACCGCCGGCGCGCCGTGCAACAACAAACCGTGCGCGACGTTGCCGCTCCGCGCGCACCTCGTCTCGCTCGCGCAAGGGGCGGGCTGTGACGTAAAGCGGGCGCCGCGGCGCGCACGTGCTCGTGTTTGTCGTCGCGCGCGACACACATGCGACTCGTTAACATTTTAATTGACATTGAAATTTCCACCTTAGAATATCGCAATAGAATGCGACATGTAAATATTTCCGCCGAAGGAGGCGCTAACTGCGAGCGACCACTCGGTCAACTTTAGAGCAGAACCGTGCGAAGCCGCAGTGGTGTATTTATGTAAGCGGTGTTTTTATTATGTCCGGGAGGCGGCCGCGAGCGCTGCAGCGGCGCGCTGGAGATGTTCCAAGCTTGCAGCCTTGACATTCGTGCTCCAGGTGGCCGCGCGCTATTTTCCTTTGCCGGACTAGTTTTTCCAGTAAGAAGCAGAGGTTAACGACGATGATTCAACCTCATTGGTATTATAAAATACAGGCTGTTGTAAAACAATGGAGTTTCGCGGTCCTTTGTCTTTATCGCACGGAGTTACATTACAACATACAGAAAGTTCAATACTACGTTCGGAACGATAACATGATATTGTTTTTTTTTCCTATTAAAGTAAAAGACTATTGGTATTTCTTACACGTACATTATACGATTAACTATTTAATCATAACTGGCCATCTTCGATCACCTTATCAAGTTTTAATTTATTAACCGTGGGTTTCCGAGATTAAAATATCCGTATTTTTATAACTGTTTTGTTGACGATAATGACAGTGATGGCGATATATTTTATACAGAGATTTTGGCCTCAGAAACCAACGGTAAGTAGTATAAATGAACTGTTTTTACTATTGAGAAGAGAGAGAGCCATTATATGAAAGTCCTCTAAACTTGGGGAAGGAAAAAAGTTGAAACCTACGATTAACATACCAACATGTTGGATTACTAAAATGTCTTATTTACATAGTATGTCTATGAAAGCATTGTTAACACCCACTTCATATTCAGTGTTATCAACAGTACATACATAATTTGGGCCTGACCTGACGCAATTATAAGTTTACAGGTTATAAGACGAGCTAGGCGCTCGGCGAGGGCGGCGGCGGGGGCGGGGGGATTAGTAGTGGGGGGTATAATACCGGTTGCGGTGTGCACCGGTACCGCGTGCAATTATTGTCGCGTTCGGTTCGGCGGCGGCTCAAGGCCGCGCGGGCGCCGGCGAACGGTACGCGTACCGTACTCCGCAGCCGGTACCGGTACGCGCAGTCACGACCGCACTCGCCCCGCCTCGCCATATCCATCAATGGATACCACATAGCCAATACTGAAGGTTAAATCGATTTCGATATTCTTGGTCCTACTTAGACGATGTTTAATTTTTTTTTAATATTCCGACATCATAACAAACGACGTTTAAATATATGACTGATGTCTTAAATTTTCTTTAAAATTAAAGTATTACATATAGGGAGGGTTACATTTCTGAATGTCAAAATCTTAATAAATCAATTTAAATATTAATAATAAACATATTAGAGTGATATCTACATCAAGGAAGTGTGGTCAACTTGTTCGTTCAACATATTTATTACTGTACATTGTAGAATCGAGGAAATTGTCAATACATTAACAGATATCAATAACGGAAAATGAAACTTGCCGTCCTTTACACACCTTAATTGGAGAAAGTCAATCAACAAATTAATAGTATAATATTATTTAATTACATACAACTTAGCGTTATAGTATCACGTATTATAAAATAAAATGATGAATGTTAAACAGGTAATGTATTGTCATATACGTTATGTTTTGTAATAGATATGCAATCTTGAGAAACAAACATAATTTCTCGTTCGGCAACAAAATGGACACAAACACAAATGGTGCACTTCAAATTGTAAACACTAAAGTTTACCCTAAAGGCTTTGCTGTTTGATGATTTTTTAATACTGCAACAAAGAGCTGACCGACTAATTCCAAAGCGAATGGTTAAGAAGGGAGCATCATGGTGGTGCATCCTATGTGTGCACAAGGTTCAAGGCCGCGCAGCAGGAGTGTGGGGTGTCGCGGGGCAGGGGCGGGCGGGGGGCGGCGAATCAATAGCAAGGCGCGCGCCGCTCGGCGCTAATTTCCAATCGCTTATCACTGATACCATAGACCAGTTTGTTTTCAAACGGCTATAAAATTTTATATCCAAGTGAGAAGAACCATAGCACCTAAGTGTTACATCATATTTTTTAATGACAGCCGAAATTAATTTTTAAATTAATTTAAATTTCTGTAGTATGTGTAATTTGACAAGTCGTAGTAAAATAATTTATTATTATGTTTGTATTCAATAATAAAAATATTACAACATCAAAACAAAAAGTGTAATACTATAATTTGATGTTAATTTGACTTCGAATGCGACGTAAACACGGTGGCTTACATAATGAGCGAGCGGGCGAGCGGGTGCACGGAGACGCGGCCGCGCGGCGGACGTGTCAGCAATAAACATGCTGTTTAACGAGGGACTAATGGATTGCCGAGATTTATTATGATCCATAAAGCAACAATGTGCGCGGCTGCTCACTTTCATAGGGCCTCAGCATGCCACAACACGCCAACACAACACAATCACATACATTTACTAGTACCAAGTGCAATCAATACTAATTCACATTCCTTTACTTTCGTTAAGCTTGAAAAGGAAAAGTAAAATAGCAATTGCTGTGAATCACAAAAAAATCCTATACGACGTCACAAAACTATCATTTTAAAGTAGAGAAATTTGTACAAATTAAGATTTATAAGCAGATTTGTAGTACAAGAATGTTAATCAGAAGATTAGTGTTAGGCGTGTCCTTTGCAGGACGCAACCTTTACTTGAATCGTGCTAGCGGCGCGCACGTACCAATCAATGCGATAAGGAAAACTATAAAGGTATAACAAACATTGGGTTGTATAGAGCTCGCCGTGAGTAACTAGTGCATCGCGGCGGGCATGCTAAGCACTGTGCAGTGTTTCGTCGCTGAATCTTTTGTTTGTTTATACAAGGTAGGTACGGGCGGCGTGGCGGCGCGAGTCATGGCACGCGCCCTACCCAATAGAATAATCGACCGATTACTAATCTAGCTTCCGATTATGTCCCGCGTCCTTTCTTGCTTTGTTATAACTTCACGCCAAAAGTCAAGAAAACTTTAATTTATACTTAAATTTATAAAAAAAATACAATAAATGAACCATATTTATAGCGACCATGCAAGTATTTCTCTTGCCAACTAACAGTAGACAAAGATATCAATTGTTAATTCGTTTCGCTTTGTTAAGCATCACAGACTAAAGATTCTGACTGCATTTAGTGTCCTAAAGCGACAGTAAGAGACAATGTCCATAATGTCTTTTAAAATCCTGATTTTTCATTGTCATATCTCTATCTACGATGCATCAAACATCAGCTAATCATGGACTACTAACATATATGTACCTATTGCTATATGTTATGTACAAGCGTTGCATAGTTATAAAGACACAAGACACGTAGGCACGTCAGCGCGACGCGAGGTTAACCGCCGTCGCTCCCTGCAGACCCTCTGTGAGTGTATTGAATAACTCGCCTAATGTGTATTGTACACCTTGCCTTACACTATTACATAGATGTTAACAAATGTTTTATTTGTATACATAGGCCTCTCTAATTGATGTCTGTGTCGTTTGATTACACATTAACACGCTAGATTCCATTATCGATTAGCATGGCAAAATAGAAAGCGTGACAACAACAAAGTTACTTCATCGCCAAATTATCTGTTACAATATTTCTCAATATTTTTAAATGTATTTATCGTGGATACATAATACAAACTTTTTCTCGTTATATTTATCTTTCTACAGTAAAAATGATGTGTTAGGTGATTATTGATCAGACATTACATATTATTATAACTTACAGATTAAAAATGAGCCAAACTGTGTACGTGAGAGCAAGATGCGCGAACCAGATGTTACCATCTCTGCATCTGGTTGGAGAGCGGAACACTCTTTATACTGACCTACATTTCGATTCATAAAAATATTTTGATAGTAACTATCAGTAATAAACTATCAATAATATTTATCATTGTATCTTTTTTTACGAGTTTGAAAAATTATTTAAAAACTGGAAGTAAAAGTTTTGATATGATTTTCCTATGACAATATCGGCGTTATGTTAAGTATGTGCAGAGGTGTGCAATGGAGGAGGCAGGAGGCAGGCGGTAGTGGTCTCAGTGCACGGCTGCACGGACGCCGCGGCCGACAAAAACCGGTATTGAGTGTATGCACACGCTACCATAAGTACACAAACCAGATCTA